GAGCGGGTGGGTGAGTAAGTGGTGGGTGGGTGGGTGGACGAGTGGGTGAGCAGGTGGGTGAGGGAGTGGTGGGTGAGTGGGTGGGTGAGTAGTGGGTGGGTGAGTGGGTGGGTGAGTGAGTGAGTGAGTGGGTGGGCGAGTGGGTGGGTGAGTAAGTGAGTGGGGGAGTCAGCGAGTTGGTGAGTGAGTGGTAGGTGAGTGGGTGGGTGGGTGAGAGAATGAGTGGGTGGGTGGCTTAATGGTGGGTGCGTAGGTGATTGAGTGAGTGGATGGGTGAGTGAGTGGATGAGTGAGTAGTGGGTCAGTGAGTGAGTGAGTGATGGGTGGGTGAGTGAGTGAGTTGGTGAGTGGGTGGGTGAGTGGTGGGTGAGTAAGTGGGCGAGTGAGTGAATGGGTGAGTGAGCGGGTGGGTGAGTAAGTGGTGGGTGGGTGAGTGGATGGGTGAGTGGATGAGCGGGTGGGTGAGTGAGCGGTGGGTGAGTGGATGAGTGGGTGAGTGGTGGGTGGTTGAGTGAGTGGGTGAATGAGTGAGTGAGTGGGTGGGCGAGTGAGTGGGTGAGTGATGAGTGGGTGAGTGAGTGGGTGAATGGGTGGGTGAGTGAATGGGTGAGTGAGTGGGTGAGTGAGTGAGTGCGTGAATGGGTGGGTGAGTGAATGGATGAGTGAGTGATGAGTGGGTGAGTGAGTGAGTGGGTGATTGGGTGGGTGAGTGAGTGGGTGAGTGAGTGATGAGTGGGTGAGTGAGTGAGTGAGTGGGTGAATGGGTGGGTGAGTAGATGAGTGAGTGGGTGAATGAGTGGGTGAGTGAATGGGTGAGTGAGTGATGAGTGGGTGAGTGAGTGGGTGAATGGGTGGGTGAGTGAATGGGTGAGTGAGTGATGAGTGAGTGAGTGGGTGAATGGGTGGGAGAGTGAATGGGTGAGTGATGAGTGGGTAAGTGAGTGGGTGAATGGGTGGGAGAGTGAATGGGTGAGTGAGTGATGAGTGAGTGAGTGGGTGGATGGGTGGGTGAGTGGGTGGGTGCCTGAGCAGAAGTGTTGCCACCTATTATATATGGATCCAATCCCTGGACGTTCTTCTCAATCGGCACTGGGTCTGCTATGAAAACCTCGCAGTTTACTGCGTCCAAGTTCAACAACAACAACAACACCAATCACTGCCCCGTCCGCGTCAAACCGGGACAGGTGGTAACCGCAGCTTAATCGGTTGTGTTCACGAGCTGATCCATTTACAGACACCCCAATAAAAATGTTTAAAACCTCATCACGACGCGTGAACAACGCCCCGCGTGTCGGCGGTGTTGTTGGGACCCACGTGAACTCGGGCTCGTGTGTAAGGGAGAGAGAGAGAGAGAAAGGGAGAGTCCTCGCCGCTAACGTCTTGGTTAGGTTCACCAGTTCAACTCCCGGTTGGGGGTGTGTGGGGTTTGGACTCAGCCCATCATCGCCGCCTCTGGTCGATAAAATGGGCACCACTTTGGGTGGGGGGTGTCGACGGCGGTTCTCCGTATGTACGCACTCGCCCCCCCCCCCGTCATGCGAACGTGGAAAGTCAAACCCATTGGCTGGGGGCTGTATAAGCAGTAGCACGAACACGGATGGCCCAACACTCACTTAAGACTTTTTTGCAATCATACTTTTTGGTTCTATTCGGTAAAGTCACGTAGGTTAAAACGTGACTTTACCGAATAGAACCAAAGAGTATGGATCCTTGCAGTCACGAAAGCTTCAAATCTAGAATCTATGGGCAGTGTTGAGTCTATGAGTAGTGTTGAGTCTATGGGCAGTGTTGAGTCTATGGGCAGTGTTGAGGCTATGGGCAGTGTTGAGTCTATGGGCAGTGTTGAGTCTATGGGCAGTGTTGAGTCTATGGGCAGTGTTGAGGCTATGGGCAGTGTTGAGTCTATGGTGCAGTGTTGAGTCTATGGGCAGTGTTGAGTCTATGGTGCAGTGTTGAGTCTATGGGCAGTGTTGAGTCTATGGGCAGTGTTGAGGCTATGGGCAGTGTTGAGTCTATGGGCAGTGTTGAGTCTATGGGCAGTGTTGAGGCTATGGGCAGTGTTGAGTCTATGGTGCAGTGATGAGTCTATGGGCAGTGTTGAGTCTATGGGCAGTGTTGAGTCTATGGGCAGTGTTGAGTCTATGGGCAGTGTTGAGTCTATGAGTAGTGTTGAGTCTATGGTGCAGTGATGAGTCTATGGGCAGTGTTGAGTCTATGGGCAGTGTTGAGTCTATGGGCAGTGTTGAGGCTATGGGCAGTGTTGAGTCTATGGGCAGTGTTGAGTCTATGGGCAGTGTTGAGGCTATGGGCAGTGTTGAGTCTATGGGCAGTGTTGAGGCTATGGGCAGTGTTGAGTCTATGGGCAGTGTTGAGGCTATGGGCAGTGTTGAGTCTATGGGCAGTGTTGAGTCTATAGGCAGTGTTGAGTCTATGGGCATTGTTGAGGCTATGGGCAGTGTTGAGTCTATGGGCAGTGTTGAGTCTACCTACGTGACTTTACCGAATAGACCCAAACAGTATGGATCCTTGCAGTCACGAAAGCTTCAAATCTAGAATTTTTTTTTTGCAATCAATTCGCCCAACGATGCTGCTTGTAATTACTGGCGAAACGTCGTTCATAAATGACGTCACGCACCTAGAGGGGGGGGGGGGGGAGGGGTCAGACATTTGTGACGATGTGTGACGAGGAGGGGGGGGGGGTGTTTGAGAAATGTGACGTCACATCAAAATTCGCAACTTTATAAATAAATAAAGACAACACGCTCTACTTAATTAAATAGACTTTTTAAATAAATGTTTTCTCCTACAACATCAGAGTGTCAGCGCTACATTAAATACGCACTACAATGACAAGAGTTTAAAGCGATTTGAAGCATGGTTTATTTTTTTGGGGGGGGGCGGCGGGGGGGGGGCAGAGCTTTGTGACGTCATATTTGAGGGGGGGGGGGGTGGGGGTCAGACTTTTTGTGACGCCGTGTGACGAGGGGGTGGGAGGGGCGGGTCAGAAATCGTCCAAAATCGCGTGACGTCATTTATGGACGGCCCCCAAACTGGTAACGAATTGTCCACGTTCTGTTGACGTGCCACACCTTCACTGATTGGCTGTGTCGGCCGGTGGCGGCGGGTTTCACGACACAAATCTAAGCGATCTAACCCCCGACAAAACAAACCCAACCCTTGCATCCCGGACGACATCGGTCGTGAAAGACTGCCACGTGTTCAACGCGACCCCGAGCCTTCGTTAGCGTTGTGGACACTCCACATTCCTATGGCGGGAGGGGAGGGGGTGCAACGCGTGGGAACCAAAATGCAAATAAAAAAGAGAATGAATGAGCGCACGCGCACGTGGTTCGTGTTGTGGATTCGTTCATTCATTCATCCCGCGGCGTGAGCCAATCAGGGGGCTCACCCCCCCCCCCCCACACACACATCCCGCGCCTCCCCCCTCCTCCACCCCGCGTCCCCTCTCGCACGTGCGCCACGGCTCGCTCATAGGGAGCGGGGCTGGAACAGCAAACACCGCCAGCACCACGGCCTCCTCCTCCTCCTCGCTCTCCCCGTGTCTCTCTCTCTCTATCTGTCTTGTCTCTCTCCCTCTCTGTGTCTCTCTGTGTGTGTCTCTGTCTCTCTATCTCTCTGTGTGTGTGTCTCTCTCTCTCTGTGTCTCTGTCTCTATCCCTCTGTGTGTCTCTCTCTCTGTGTCTCTCTGTGTGTGTCTCTATCTCTCTCTGTGTGTCTCTGTGTGTGTCTCTATCTCTCTGTCTTGTCTCTCTCCCTCTCTGTGTCTCTCTGTGTGTGTCTCTGTCTCTCTGTGTGTGTCTCTGTCTCTATCTCTCTGTGTGTCTCTCTCTCTCTGTGTCTCTCTGTGTGTGTCTCTGTCTCTCTCTCTCTCTCTGTGTCTCTCTGTGTGTGTCTCTCTCTATCTCTCTGTCTTGTCTCTCTCCCTCTCTGTGTCTCTCTGTGTGTGTCTCTGTCTCTATCTCTCTGTGTCTCTCTGTGTCTCTCTGTGTGTGTCTCTATCTCTCTGTCTTGTCTCTCTCCCTCTCTGTGTCTCTCTGTGTGTCTCTGTCTCCCTATCTCTCTCTGTGTGTGTCTCTGTCTCCCTATCTCTCTCTGTGTGTCTCTCTCTCTGTCTCTGTGTGTGTCTCTGTCTCTATCTCTCTCTGTGTGTCTCTCTCTCTGTGTCTCTCTGTGTGTGTCTCTGTCTCTTTCCCTCTTTGTGTCTGTGTGTGTGTCTCTGTCGTGCGAGGCACCCCAACAGTCTGTAAAGGCTACACGGGGGATCTGTGTATATGTGCTTGTGTGCACCACCACTTCGTCCCCGTGTTTATCTGTGTCTCTCGGCGTCCCCCTCTCTCTCTGGTTGTGTCTCTGTGTCTTCGTCCGTGTACATTTGTCCGCGCATGTCTATCAATCTCTTGCCTCCCGTCTCCCTACCTGTCTCGTAATCAGCTCTACCGCTCCCCCTGTCTCTCTGCTCCCTGTCCCTGCTCCTCTCGTGTCCACTGCCTGTCTCCCTGTCTGTCTCTCACCTCTCTCCGCGTCTCTCTCACTGTCTCTCTCTATCTCTGTCTTCTCTCTGTGTGTCTCGTCTCTCTCTCTCCGCGCGTCTCCCTGTCTCTCCGTGTCTCTCCCCCGTGTCTCTCTCCGCGTCTCTCTCCTTGTGTCTCTCTCCGTCTCTCCCCGTGTATCTCCCCGTCTCTCCCCGTGTCTCTCCCCGTGTCTCTCCCCGTGTCTCCGCGCGTCTTTCTCCCCGTCTCTCTCCGCGCGTTTCTCTCCCCGTGTCTCTCTCCCCGTGTCTCTCTCCCCGTGTCTCTCTCCCCGTGTCTCTCTCTCCGTGTCTCTCTCCCCGTGTCTCTCTCCTTGTGTCTCTCTCCGTCTCTCCCCGTGTCTCTCCCCGTGTCTCTCTCCTCGTGTCTCTCTCCCCGTGTCTCTCCCCGTGTTTCTCCCCGTGCGTCTCTCTCCCCGTGCGTCTCTCTCCCCGTGCGTCTCTCTCCCCGTGCGTCTCTCTCCCCGTGCGTCTCTCTCCCCGTGCGTCTCTCTCCCCGTGTCTCTCTCCCCGTCGTCCGCGATGGAAGAGGCTCGCCCAGAGGTGCGCGAATCTCAGCGAGTCGTGCATCTCAGCTGTCCGCTGCAAGGCTGGCTCCTCGTCTTGGGTGAGTGATTGCATTTGACCACCACCACTACCGCCACGATTGATCCACTGCTAGATTTAGGCTTCCACGTTTCGTTTCCGCATCTCGACATTAGCCTGCGAGGTTCGTAAATAATCTCATCAGCATCATCGTCGCGGTCTTCGTCGTCAAACGGAACGGATTCAGCAAACGGCATTCGTCAACAGAAACCGTGGCCCAAAAGGATGTAACAATATAACGGGCGACGTTTCGGACAACGGTCCTTCTCGATAGCCGGCAAAGCAGTAATGCAGCAGTAGCAGCAGTCGTAGGAAGAATGATGATGATAGTGGTGGTGGTGATGGTGGTGATGGTGATGATGGTGATGATGATGGTGATGATGGTGATGATGGTGGTGATGGTGGTGATGATGATGGTGATGGTGGTGATGGTGGTGGTGATGATGGTGGTGATGATGATGGTGGTGATGATGGTGATGGTGGTGATGATGATGGTGATGATGGTGGTGATGGTGGTGATGGTGATGGTGCTGGTGATGGTGGTGGTGGTGATGATGGTGATGGTGGTGGTGATGGTGGTGGTGGTGATGGTGGTGATGATGATGGTGGTGATGGTGGTGATGATGATGGTGGTGATGATGGCCATGGTGGTGGTGGTGATGGTGGTGGTGATGGTGGTGGTGATGGTGGTGATGGTGATGATGGTGATGATGGTGATGATGATCCACCTGGCGCATTGCACGCGGGCCGATATTCATCACTCCGTCTCCATCGTTGGGCGTCCTCTCTCGTCGGGGCCGCGCGTTACAATCCCTTTGGCTCCTCGCCATCCCATCAAAGCCGCCACCACCACCACCATCGCCACCATCATCATCACCACCACCATCATCACCACCACCACCACCGTCGCCTCCACCGCCACCATCACCACCATCGCCTCCACCACCATCGCCACCGTCACCACCACCATCACCACCACCATCACCACCACCATCACCACCATCATCACCACCACCATCACCATCATCACCACCACCGCCACCATCGCCACCACCACCATCGCCACCACCGCCACCACCGCCACCACCACCATCGCCACCGTCACCATCATCGTCGGCCACGCTCAATCCACCGCTGGACGGAACGCGTCGGCTCGAGACGACGCCGCCATGCGCGCGCGTTGGCGCCGCGATTTATTTATTTATTTAACTCGCGATTCTCGTTCGCCGGGGTGGTCCAAATGTCTCGTGACCCCCCCTCCATTTAATTATCTAAAACGTAGTAATTTTTTTTCGTTGATTAATGGTTTATTTAAAACATAAATTAATATGCGCAATGGGGGGGGGGGGGGGATGGGAGGGGGGAGGTAAATAAAAAAAGTGTTATGACTCAATTAATTTGGGGTGGGGGTCACAAGACATGTGGACCGCCCTTTATAAATATTTTTGCGTTCTGATTTTAAGTGCCGTACACTTTGTTGTTTGATAAAAGTCTTCGCGATTTGCTGTTTACGATTTTTAAATAGTCACCACCACCACCACCAGCATCATCATCGTCGTCGTCGGTCGTGAAGTCCACGGTCAATCCACTGCTAGATGGAGTTTTTTCTTAATCGGTTAGCGGTCGCGCGATTTCAGCGAGGTGATTTCCACCGTTCCGTCTCCTCTGCCGGTGGTGCCGTCCTCCCCTCTCTCTCGGACGCGTTCCATCCCTTGGGCTGTCGCTCCGTTGTTAGTCTCGACCGCCGCTCCGTCTGACCGTGACCTCTCCTCGCTCGCGTCGCTCGCTTTGTGATGCCATGGAACATCCACGTGTCCATCTCGCTGCCTCTGTGGGTGTCATCATCATCATCATCACCTATCCACTGCTGGATGACGATCAGCGTGACGATGTCTCTACCCTGCGCGTGTTCTCTCATCCACGTGTCCATCTCGCTGCCTCTGTGGGTGTCATCATCATCACCTATCCACTGCTGGATGACGATCAGCGTGACGATGTCTCTACCCTGCGCGTGTTCTCTCACCCACGTGTCCCTCTCGCTGTCTCTGTGGGTGTCATCATCATCATCATCTATCCACTGCTGGATGACGATCAGCGTGACGATGTCTCTACCCTGCGCGTGTTCTGTCACCCACGTGTCCCTCTCGCTGTCTCTGTGGGTGTCATCATCATCATCATCTATCCACTGCTGGATGACGATCAGCGTGACGATGTCTCTACCCTGCGCGTGTTCTCTCACCCACGTGTCCCTCTCGCTGTCTCTGTGGGTGTCATCATCATCATCACCTATCCACTGCTGGATGACGATCAGCGTGACGATGTCTCTACCCTGCGTGTGTTCTCTCACCCACGTGTCCCTCTCGCTGTCTCTGTGGGTGTCATCATCATCATCAACATCATCATCATCTCTCCACTGCTGGATGACGATTAATGTGACGATGTCTCTACCCTGCGCGTGTTCTCTCATCCACGTGTCCCTCTCGCTGTCTCTGTGGGTGTCATCATCATCATCACCACCTATCCACTGCTGGATGACGATCAGCGTGACGATGTCTCTACCCTGCGCGTGTTCTGTCACCCACGTGTCCATCTCGCTGCCTCTGTGGGTGTCATCATCATCATCATCACCTATCCACTGCTGGATGACGATCAGCGTGACGATGTCTCTACCCTGCGCGTGTTCTGTCACCCACGTGTCCCTCTCGCTGTCTCTGTGGGTGTCATCATCATCATCATCACCTATCTACTGCTGGATGACGATCAGCGTGACGATGTCTCTACCCTGCGCGTGTTCTGTCACCCACGTGTCCATCTCGCTGTCTCTGTGGGTGTCATCATCATCATCATCTATCCACTGCTGGATGACGATCAGCGTGACGATGTCTCTACCCTGCGCGTGTTCTCTCACCCACGTGTCCCTCTCGCTGTCTCTGTGGGTGTCATCATCACCACGCGACACTCCGCTCATCATCGCAGCGGTGGCTTTTGGCTCAGCCGGCGAGCAGAGACGGCGGATCCACCTCTGCATCACCGCGGCCTTTTCACGCGGCGCTGCTTTTGCGGCCGTCTGGAACGCTCTTCCCCCTTCCGATATTAAGAAGCTGTGGTGCCCTTTCAAATAATAATCATCATCATCATCTCGATTGAAAAACTCGTTTCTTTAGAGCTGACTTTGCCTTGTTAGTTTGTCCTCCTTCTCCCGCCACATCCGATTAGCGCGGTTGGCTACGTACGGTGCGAAAGAAGTTCAACATAGAGTGCGTCTGGTTTCTGAATCGGCACACAATATACCGAATGTGCGCGAGTGTCCCGTGCTTCTCATTTATTTCCTCCAAAACCACGCCAGTGATTACTCTGAGTTGTGGATCGTCGAGTTTTCAATCGAACCGGGACCCATTTGTGACAGTGGGACGGACTCCCTGCTGATGAGACACTGCATGTGGAAACCAGCACTTGTCTAAAAACGTCGGGCAGTTCGCCTGCAGTCTTGGTTCAAGCGAGCCTGACTGCTGATGAGACACTGAATGTGGAAACCAGCACTTGTCTATGAACGTCGGGCACTTCGCCTGCAGTGTTGGTTCAAGCGAGCCTGACTGCTGATGAGACACTGAATGTGGAAACCAGTCATTGACTAAAAACGTCGGGGAGTTCGCCTGCAGTCTTGGTTCAAGCGAGCCTGACTGCTGATGAGACAATGAATGTGGAAACCAGTCATTGACTAAAAACGTCGGGCAGCTCGCCTGCAGTGTTGGTTCAAGCGAGCCTGACTGCTGATGAGACACTGCATGTGGAAACCAGTCATTGACTAAAAACGTCGGGCAGCTCGCCTGCAGTGTTGGTTCAAGCGAGCCTGACTGCTGATGAGACACTGAATGTGGAAACCAGCACTTGTCTATGAACGTCGGGCAGCTCGCCTGCAGTGTTGGTTCAAGCGAGCCTGACTGCTGATGAGACACTGCATGTGGAAACCAGCACGTGTCTATGAACGTCGGGCAGCTCGCCTGCAGTGTTGGTTCAAGTGAGCCTGACTGCTGATGAGACACTGCATGTGGAAACCAGTCATTGTCTATAGACTTCTGGCATTTCGCCTGCAGTGATGGTTCAAGCGAGCCTGGCTCTGCTGATGAGACGAGAAAAGCGAAACCAGTCCATGTCTATAAACTTCTGGCAGTTCGCCTGCAGCGATGGTTCAAGCGAGTTAATCTCTGCTGATGAGACACTGCATTTCGAAACCAGCATTGGTTCTAGCGAGCCTGACATACCGTCTGGGGAGTGTATCTCCACTGTATATCGATGCCAGCACATTGCACGATAGTTGATACATACTTAGCTAAGTGCGAGGCCTGTAACATGATGTTATAAAGGTGCCATAAATATAAAACGTAAATATTTAAACACGAATGTTTAACTTGCACAGTAAAGTAATTGTATTTTTGCATTTACCATACAGCCAGATAATGCGACAGATCGCTAACATTGAACACCCGTTCGTTCATAAAAGTCGAAGGCGGTATAGTACTATAGTAATAGAGCAAGTGCAGAATCATTGAACCGGAATTGATAGCGTGAAAGCATTTAGCGCGGGGCCCTTGAAAGTGCGGGGCCCGTAGCACAAGCAGTAGTAGCTACTACTAGTAGCTACTACTACACGTGTAGTAGCTGCTACTACACGTGTAGCAGCTGCTACTACACGTGTAGTAGCTGTGTAGTAGCTGCTACTACACGTGTAGTAGCTGTGTAGTCGCTGCTACTACACGTGTAGTAGCTGCTACTACACATGTAGTAGCTGCTACTACACGTGTAGTAGCTGTGTAGTAGCTGCTACTACACGTGTAGTAGCTGCTACTACACGTGTAGTAGCTGTGTAGTAGCTGCTACTACACGTGTAGTAGCTGTGTAGTCGCTGCTACTACACGTGTAGTAGCTGCTACTACACATGTAGTAGCTGCTACTACACGTGTAGTAGCTGTGTAGTAGCTGCTACTACACGTGTAGTAGCTGTGTAGTAGCTGCTACTACACG